AAGTGCCATCCCTGGCTCTGGTCAGGGTGCATGTGGGAGGCAACCAATCGATGTGTCTCTCTCACATCGGTGTTTCTCTCTGTGTGTCTCTCTCCCTCCCTCCCACTCTCTCTGAAAATCAATGGAAAAATATCCTTGGGCCTGGCTGGCGGGTTCCAGGGTTGAGTTTAGACCTATGAGCAAGGAGGTCACAGGTTGATTCTGGTCAAGGGCACATGCCTGGGTTTCGGGCTCCATCCCCAGTAGGGGGCGTGCAGGATGCAGCCTATCAATGATTCTCTCTCATCATTGATGTTTCTATCTCTCTCTCCCTCTCCCTTCCTCTCTGAAATCAATAAAATGTATTTTAAAAAAATATATCCTCAGCTGAGGATTAACAAAATAAATAAATAAAATAAATAATAAATAAGAAGCTGCCTGGCCATAGCCTCTCGCATTGCCATCGGCGGTCCCGGATCTGTCTCTTGCTTCAACCGTATTTGGACAGAACAGACCCAGGGACACCCCTTCTTCCAGCTCCGGCCACTCTCCTGCGTCTGATCCAGTCACCACCTTCAGAACCACCTCTGGGACCAGCCAACACACTGGTTTTGTGGGTTTTTTGTGTGTTCTTTCCTACTTTAACTCCTTATTGTCAAACAACCATGAGCTCCCAAATTCCTCAGGATTATTCCACCCAGGTGGAGGCTGCGGTCAACCACCTGGCCAACCTGCATCTGCGGGCCTCTTACACCTACCTCTCTCGGGGCTTCTTTTTCAATCAGGATGATGTGGCTCTCGAGGGCATGGGCCACTTCCTCTGGGAGTTGGCAGAGAAGAAGCACGAGGGCACTAAACATCTCTTAAAGTTGCAAAAACAGCGCGGTGGGCGCATTCTCTTCCAGGACGTGTTGAAGCCTCCCCAAGTTGAGTGGGCAAAACTCAGGACGCCAGGGAAGCTGCCCTGGCCTTGGAGAGGAACCTGAAGCAGGCCCTTTTGGAGCTGCAGGCCCTGGGTTCTACCCACACAGACCCTCAGCTCTGTGACTTCCTGGAGAACCACTTCCTGGGTGAGGAGGTGAAACTCATCAAGAAGATGGGTGACACCTGACTAACCTCTGCAGGCTGCCGGCCCCCAGGCTGGGCTGGGCGAGTACCTCTTCAAAAGGCTCACCCTCAAGCACGACTAGGAGCCTGTGGAGCCCAGAGGCCTTTGAGGGCCCCTCTGCATCCCCTGGTGTCTGGCTTTTTCCTGAGCCTCTCCCCGAACCTACTAGCCATTCTTTTAACCACCCTGAAGCCCTTTCCCATGCATTGAACCAAATGAAACAATAAAGTTTTTTCAGCAAAAAAAAAATACGTAAATATAAATAAATAAACAGACAGACAATGATGTCAATACAGTTCAGTCCAGTCTTTTTTCAGCAAAAAAATAAATAAGTAAATATAAATAAATAAACAGACAAACAGACAGACAATGATGTCAATACAGTTCAGTCCAGAAGTGTTCACTGAGTCCTGGTGTGTGTTAGACGCTGTATGCGTTGCCAGGGATGGTCCCTCTTCTCATGGAGTTTGTAGTCTAGTGGGAAAGCCAGACATTAATCAAATAATCGCCCAGATTTAAAGCTGCAGTGGAGTCAAAGACACCAGATGGGCTACAGCTGGACAAAGGAGTAGTATCCAGAATACATAAAGAACTCCTACACTTAATAAGAGATGATCCAATAGAAGCACTGTCAGATAAATCAATGGGCAATTTTTAAAAGACAGAAGGCAAATGGCTAATAAACAAATGAAAGTATACTCAGTCTCTTTTTTAAAATATATTTTTATTGATTTCAGAGAGGAAGGAAGAAAGAGAGAGAGATAGAAACATCAATGATAAGAGAGGATCATTGATCGGCTGCCTCCTGCACGGCCTGCACTGGGGATCGAGCCTGCAATCTGGGCATATGTCCTGACTGGGAACTGAACCCTGACCTCCTGGTTCACAGGTCAGATGCTCAACCACTAAGCCACACCAGCCGGGCCTCAGTCTCTCTTGTAAACAGGGAATTGCAAATTAAAACATTGAAATAACCATGTCACACCCATCAGCTTGGCAAAAAAAATTAAAGTCTGACATTACCAAGTGTTGCTGAGGATGCCAACCATGGGAACTCATATATTGCTCTCAAAGAGTAAATCGGTCCTACCACTTTGAAAATCTGCTCAGTCATGCTGAATGAAGCTGCTAACTTGCATGACCTGAACCCAGCAATTCCACACCCAAGTATCTACCCAGATGGCTCATTTTCATACAAGGGGAAGGGATAAAAAAAATATATTAATTGGCCCTAACCAGTCTGGCTCAGTGGATAGAGCATTGGCCTGTGGACTCAAGGGTCCCAGGTTTGATTCCGGTCAAGGGCATGTACCTTGGTTGCAGGCACATACCCAGTAGGGAGTATGCAGGAGGCAGCTGATCAATGTTTCTCTCCCATTGATGTTTCTAACTCTCTAACCCTCTCCCTTCCTTTCTGTAAAAATTCAATAAAATATATTTTTTTAAAAAAAGTAAAATATTAATTGTAGCACTGTTCCCAAGAACAAACTAATTTGAAAATAAGCTGAATGTCCTCCAGAAGGAGACAGGTAAGTAAAGTTTGGTGAACATGATCTAGAACAGTGTTTCTCAACCTTCCTAATGCCACGACCCTTTAATACTCATGTTGTGGTGACCCCCAACCATAAAATTATTTTTGTTGCTACTTCATAACTGTAATTTTGCTACCGTTATGAATCGTAATGTAAATATCTGATATGCAGGATGTATTTAGGCGACCTCTGTGAAAGGGTCGTTTGACCCCCAAAGGGTCGCGACCCACAGGTTGAGAACTACATGTATCCATAAGAGTACATTTCAAAATCATAATGCTGAGTGAAGCAAGCAAGCTGCACAATGATATAATCAGTATAATGCCATTTCTTCAGTTTACAAACATGCCAAACAATTCTATAAAATGTTGATAGGCAGAAATACATGTAGTAAAAATTCAAAAACGTGCATGGGAATGATAAACCCCAAATGCAGGAGAGTGGGTACCTTAGGTTCAGAGGGCTCCACCTGGATTTGTAAAGTTTTATGTCCTTAAGAAAAGATTTGGCCCAGCCAGTGTGGCTCAGTGGTTGAGCATCGACCTATGAACCAGGAGGTCACAGTTTGATTCCCTGTCAGGGCACATGCAGGGGTTGTGGGCTCGATCTTCAGTAGAGGGTGTGCAGGAGGAAGCCGATCAATGATTCTCTCTCATCATTGATGTCTCCATCTCCTTCTTTCTCTCCCTTCCTCTCTGAAATCAATAAAAATGTGTGTGTGTGTGTGTGTGTGTGTGTGTGTATGTGTTTAAGAAAATATTTGAAGAAAAATTAGCAAATGTTAAGCTTTGACAAAGGGCGGAGGGGGTGGTAGAGGAGGGGCAGAGAAGAAAAAGATGATGTTATTATTCTCTAGTTTTTTATGTGCTTTGATCTATCAAAGGAGGATTTGACTGAATCGGGGTTGGGGTGGGAGAGGGTTCAGAGAAGGTGTCTCTGAGGAAATGGTGCTTACTTAGGATGAGAGCAAACATTGAGTAGGTAAGGAAGGGCAAAAGGTGTACCAGGCAGAAAGAACAGGCTGTGTAAAAACCCTGAGGTGGGAGGGTGAATGAACAAAGAGACTAGGCACTGAGACCCTCAGTGTGATCAGAGCAGAGGGAGGAAGGGGCTGGGGGTGGGGATGGGCCGAGGTGGTGCACAGAGGTGCAGGGCCTCACAGGCCATCTTGAAGGGTCAGGTCTTTATTCCCAGTATGATGAAAGCAGCGGGGATGCTAAGTGTTGGGGCCCAGAGACACTTCCACTCAGACAGATAGTGGAATAAGGACGGCATTCTCAAAGAGATGACTCACCTCTTGAGCTTTGGAGAATGAGTAAGAAGCTGCCAGTTAGGGGAGGAGGGGGAGTGAGATGCAAATTCCCCGGGTAGGGCCCAACAGCAATAAATACATTGACAGCCTTCAAATTCGTGGTCCCAACTCCAGAGGTGTTAGATGGGAAAATGGCAGACCAGCGTGTCCAAGACAGAGTGGGCTTGGCACCAGCGCAGCCTTAGGCTAAGAGAGGCATAGTCAGACATGGATTGTAGCTGGCTAGCTCCAGCCGTGCGGCGAGTGGATGTGAAGGAGGTAGGAGTGCAGACAAGGAGATCTTTGAGCGGAATGTTAATAGCCTCAACCAGGCTGGAATTAGGATGAAGCATGGAGCGCGCCTGGGGACGTATTTCGGAGGGAAGGCGAGGAGGCATCTAGGACGATGGGGTGGGTGGTAGCGCCATCTCTGAGATGGACTATCATAGGGGCAAGACGCGGCAAGTTAGATGTTCGTGCAGGGCAAGCCAAGTGGAACTGTCCGGCCAGCAATGGGATGGGCGCGCCAGGGGTTGCGGAGGGAAAGCTGGGTGTGGGAGGCGCCTCATGTGGGTGACTATTAACCACTCACAGCAAACGAGCGGGTCCCGGAGGGGAGGGGAGAGGAAGAAGCTGAGCAGGTCGCTGGAGGATCATCAGTGATGGGATCGGGGCAAGGCTGGCGGAGAGAGAACTGGAGGGGAAGGAGCCCGCAGAGGCTGAGGGGCCGCCGGGAGGGGGGCCCCGCGCCCCGCTGCAG